GTGGTAGTGGTGGTGGTGGTAGTGGTGGTAGTGGTGGTAGTGGTGGTGGTGGTAGTGGTGGTAGTGGTGGTAACGGTGGGGTTGTTGTGGTGGTGGTGGTAGTGGTGGTGGTTGTAGTAGTAGTGGTAGTGGTGGTGGTTGTAGTAGTAGTGGTAGTGGGTGGTTGTAGTAGTAGTGGTAGTGGTGGTGGTTGTAGTAGTAGTGGTAGTGGTGGTGGTTGTAGTAGTAGGTAGTAGTGGTGGTTGTAGTAGTGGTAGTAGTGGTGGTTGTAGTAGTAGTGGTAGTGGTGGTGGTTGTAGTGGTAGTAGTGGTGGTGGTTGTAGTAGCAGTGGTAGTGGTGGTGGTGGTTGTAGTGGTGGTGGTAGTGGTGGTAGTTGTTGTGGTGGTGGTGGTTGTTGTTGTACCGTACCTCCCGTGTGTCCGCGCAGGATGGAGCAGCACCTCCACTGCTCCGTGCTGCTCACCAGTGACGAGGCCGAACCAAACACAGCGCTGGGCCCAATGAACCTGCAGCAACAACAACAACATCAACAACAACAACATCAACATCAACAACCAGTGACGAGGCCGAACCAAACACAGCGCTGGGCCCAATGAACCTGCAGCAACAACATCAACAACATCAACAACAACATCAACAACATCAACATCAACAACAACATCAACAACAACAACATCAACAACAACAACATCAACAACAACAACATCAACAACAACAACATCAACAACAACATCAACAACATCAACATCAACAACATCAACAACAACAACATCAACAACAACAACAACCAGCGACGAGGCCGAACCAAACACAGCGCTGGGCCCAATGAACCTGCAGCAACAACAACAACAACAACATCAACAACAACATCAACAACATCAACATCAACAACAACCAGCGACGAGGCCGAACCAAACACAGCGCTGGGCCCAATGAACCTGCAGCAACAACATCAACATCAACAACAACAACAACATCAACAACAACAACATCATCAACAACATCAACATCAACAACATCAACAACATCATCAACAACATCAACAACATCAACAACATCAACATCAACAACAAGATCAACATGAACCTGCAATAACATCAACAACAACATGAACCAGCACCACCACAACAACAACCATCACCACCACAACAACATCAACCTGCACCACCACCACAACAACATGAACCAGCACCACCACCACCACAACAACAACCATCACCACCACAACAACATCAACCTGCACCACCACCACAACAACATGAACCAGCACCACCACCACAACAACAACCATCACCACCACAACAACATCAACCTGCACCACCACCACAACAACATGAACCAGCACCACCACCACAACAACAACCACAACAACAACCATCACCACCACAACAACATCAACCTGAATTTCGATTTAAAGCTTTCGTGACTGCAGGGATTCATCTTCTTGGTTCTTTCGGTAAAGTCACGTAGAAGGGAAGTAATAAAATAATAAAAATAATAAAATAATAAAACAATTCTCACGACGTTTCGGCCACAACGCAAGCAGCCGTCCTCAGGTGAAAACCAGGTCCGTCGAGGCGACAGAGTCTGAATGAAACAGCACACGAGCTTGGAGCATATATATAAGCTGGGCGCATTGACAAAGGAATTTGCATATCAACAGGAATTTAGCATATTTATGGGAAATGCAGGAATGTGATTAGTACTGCATATGCATGTGCATTATGCAGGATTAACAGCATCAAAGGGAGCTGCAGTTACTGCTGCTGCTGCAGTTGCTGCTGCTGCTGCAGTTGCTGCTGCTGCTGCAGTTGCTGCATTATCCATTTTAATATAACAGTATGTATTATTCTACCCACCCTAATGTGTATCATACTGCTATATGTTTACTGTACAATTACGACACCATACATTACTCTGCACACTGCACCATGCCAGTGGCATGGTGCAGTGTGCAGAGTAATGTATGGTGTAATGTATGGTGTCGTAATTGTACAGTAAACATATAGCAGTATGATACACATTAGGGTGGGTAGAATAATACATAGTGTTATATTAAAATGGATAATGCAGCAACTGCAGCAGCAGCAGCAAGTGCAGCAGCAGCAGCAACTGCAGCTCCCTTTGATGCTGTTAATCCTGCATAATGCACATGCATATGCAGTACTAATCACATTCCTGCATTTCCCATAAATATGCTAAATTCCTGTTGATATGCAAATTCCTTTGTCAATGCGCCCAGCTTATATATATGCTCCAAGCTCGTGTGCTGTTTCATTCAGACTCTGTCGCCTCGACGGACCTGGTTTTCACCTGAGGACGGCTGCTTGCGTTGTGGCCGAAACGTCGTGAGAATTGTTTTATTTTTATTATTTTATTACTTCCCTTCTACGTGACTTTACCGAAAGAACCAAGAAGAACATCAACCTGCACCACCACCACAACAACATCAACCTTCACCACCACAATAACAACATCAACAACAACATGAACAACAACATCAACAACAATAACAACAACGAAACAACACAACAACACAGCACAGTTACATGCCACGATACAACACGGGTTCATGTTGTTGTGTTGTTGTGCAAGTTCATGTTGTTGTTGTTGTTGTGGTGGTGCAGGTTCATGTTGTTGTTGCTGATGACGTTGTTGATGTTGTTGTTGTTGTTGATGTTGTTGTTGATGTTGTTGTTGATGTTGTTGTTGATGTTATTGTTGATGTTATTGTTGATGTTGTTGTTGTTGATGATGTTGTAGATGTTATTGTTGTTGATGTTGTTAGTGCTGTTGTTGTTAGTGTTGTTGTTGTTGGTGTTATTGATGTTGTTGTTGACGATGTTGTTGTTGTTGACGTTGTTGTTGTTGTTGTTGTTGTCGTGTGACTCACGTTGCAGGTTTCCAGATCATGACGAGTTTGTCGTCACTCCCAGACGCAAGCAGAGAGCCGGAGTTGGACCACCGCACACAGTTGACACACGCTAAGCACACGCAACAACAACACGATTAACACAGTGCACACACGCTAAGCACACGCAACAACAACACGCACACACGATTAACACAGTTGACACACGCTAAGCACACGCAACAACAACACGCAACAACAACAACACGATTAACACAGTGCACACACGCTAAGCACACGCAACAACAACACGCAACACGCACACACGATTAACACAGTGCACACACACTAAGCACACGCAACAACAACACGCAACAACAACACGCACACGATTAACAGTGCACACACACTAAGCACACGCAACAACAACACGCAACAACAACACGCACACACGATTAACACAGTGCACACACACTAAGCACACGCAACAACAACACGCAACAACAACACGCACACACGATTAACACAGTGCACACACACTAAGCACACGCAACAACAACACGCAACAACAACACGCACACACGATTAACACAATGCACACACGCTAAGCACACGCAACAGCACGCAGCAACAACACACACTCACACTTAACAGAGTTCACACACGCTAAGCACACGCAACAACACGCACACACCCAGGTGGTTGTCCATCTGACACAACACGCGTGTAGCGTGTTGGTTGTTGTTTTGTGTGGTGGTTGTTGTTGTGTGTAGTGGTTGTTGTAGTGGTTCTTGTGTGTAGTGGTTGTTGTTGTGTGTAGTGGTTGTTGTTGTGTGTAGTGGTTGTTGTTGTGTGTAGTGGTTGTTGTTGTTGTGTGTGGTTGTTGTTGTGGTTGTTGTTGTTGTGTGTACTGGTTGTTGTGGTTGTTGTGTCACCCAGGTGGTTGTCCATCTGGCACAACACGCGTGTGGAGTGGTGGTTGTTGTTGTGTGGAGTGGTGGTTGTTGTTGTGTGTAGTGGTTGTTGTTGTTGTGTGTAGTGGTTGTTGTTGTGGTTGTGTCAACCAGGTGGTTGTCCATCTGGCACAACACGCATGTGGAGTGGTGGTTGTTGTTGTTGTGTGTAGTGGTTGTTGTTGTTGTGTTGGTTCTTGTGTGTAGTAGTGGTTGTTGTGTGTGTGGTTGTTGTTGTTGTTGTGTGTAGTTGTGGTTGTTGTTGTGGTTGTGTCACCCAGGTGGTTGTCCATCTGACACAACACGCGTGTGGAGTGGTGGTTGTTGTTGTTGTGTGTAGTGGTTGTTGTTGTGGTTGTTGTGCGTGGTGGTTGTTGTGTGTAGTGATGGTTGTTGTTGTGTCACCCAGGTGATTGTCCATCTGGCACAACACGCGTGTGGAGTGGTGGTTGTTGTTGTTGTGTGTAGTGGTTGTTGTGTATAGTTGTTGTGGTTGTTGTGTGTAGTGGTTGTTGTTGTGTGTAGTTGTTGTAGTGGTTGTTGTGTCACCCAGGTGATTGTCCATCTGGCACAACACGCATGTGGAGTGGTGGTTGTTGTTGTTCTGTGTAGTGGTTGTTGTAGTGGTTGTTGTGTCACCCAGGTGATTGTCCATCTGGCACAACACGCATGTGGAGTGGTGGTAGTTGTTGTGTGTAGTGGTTGTTGTTGTGTGTAGTGATGGTTGTTGTTGTATCACCCAGGTTGTTGTCCATCTGGCACAACACGCGTGTGGAGTGGTGGTTGTTGTTGTTGTTGTGTAGTGGTTGTTGTTGTGTGTGTAGTGGTAGTTGTTGTGGTTGTGTCACCCAGGTGGTTGTCCATCTGACACAACACGCGTGTGGAGTGGTGGTTGTTGTGTGTGTAGTGGTTGTAGTTGTTGTGGTTGTGTCACCCAGGTGGTTGTCCATCTGACACAACACGCGTGTGGAGTGGTTGTTGTTGTTGTGTGTGTAGTTGTTGTGTGTAGTGGTTGTTGTGGTGTTGTGTCACCCAGGTGGTTGTCCATCTGGCACAACACGCGTGTGGAGTGGTGGTTGTTGTGTGTGTAGTGGTTGTAGTTGTTGTGGTTGTGTCACCCAGGTGGTTGTCCATCTGGCACAACACGCGTGTGGAGTGGTGGTTGTTGTTGTGTGTAGTGGTTGTTGTTGTTGTGTGTAGTTGTGGTAGTTGTTGTGGTTGTGTCACCCAGGTGGTTGTCCATCTGGCACAACACGCGTGTGGAGTGGTGGTTGTTGTTGTGTGACGTGGTGGTTGTTGTTGTGTGTAGTGGTTGTTGTTGTGTGTAGTGGTAGTTGTAGTGGTTGTTGTGTCACCCAGGTGGTTGTCCATCTGGCACAACACGCGTGTGGAGTGGTGGTTGTTGTTGTGTGTAGTGGTTGTTGTGTGTAGTGGTAGTTGTTGTGGTTGTGTCACCCAGGTGGTTGTCCATCTGGCACAACACGCGTGTGGAGTGGTGGTTGTTGTTGTGTGTAGTGGTTGTAGTTGTTGTGGTTGTGTCACCCAGGTGGTTGTCCATCTGGCACAACACGCGTGTGGAGTGGTGGTTGTTGTTGTGTGTAGTGGTTGTTGTTGTTGTGTGTAGTTGTGGTAGTTGTTGTGGTTGTGTCACCCAGGTGGTTGTCCATCTGGCACAACACGCGTGTGGAGTGGTGGTTGTTGTTGTGTGACGTGGTGGTTGTTGTTGTGTGTAGTGGTTGTTGTTGTGTGTAGTGGTAGTTGTAGTGGTTGTTGTGTCACCCAGGTGGTTGTCCATCTGGCACAACACGCGTGTGGAGTGGTGGTTGTTGTTGTGTGTAGTGGTTGTTGTGTGTAGTGGTAGTTGTTGTGGTTGTGTCACCCAGGTGGTTGTCCATCTGGCACAACACGCGTGTGGAGTGGTGGTTGTTGTTGTGTGTAGTGGTTGTTGTGTGTAGTGGTAGTTGTTGTGGTTGTGTCACCCAGGTGGTTGTCCATCTGGCACAACACGCGTGTGGAGTGGTGGTTGTTGTTGTGTGTAGTGGTTGTTGTGTGTAGTGGTAGTTGTTGTGGTTGTGTCACCCAGGTGGTTGTCCATCTGGCACAACACGCGTGTGGAGTGGTGGTTGTTGTTCTTCTCTTCGGCTTCACTCCTCACTGGGGCCAGGTTCCAGATCACAACCTTGCCGGAATCCTCCCCTGCGTCAACAACAACAACAACAACAACCACAACAATCACAACAACAATCGATTGTCTGTGTGTGTGTAGGTGCTGCTACTCGGTCATCTCGGTCAGTCGACCCGTGGCACCTGCTGGGTCTGCCCCGTGACCTCCTGCCAGCGGGCATTCGACACTTCACGTGGCAGCCTCAAGGTGCACTTGGCCTGGCACAAGCGTCGTGGTGACGTCACCGCCACTTAGTGGCGAATGGCGGTTGTTGTTGTGTGTGAGCGTGTGTGTGTGTGAGTGTGTGTGAGAGCGTGTGTTAGCGTGTGTGTGTGTTAGCGTGTGTGTGAGCGTGTGTGTGTGTTAGCGTGTGTGTGAGCGTGTGTGTGTGTTAGCGTGTGTGTGTGTGAGCGTGTGTGAGTGTGAGCGTGTGTGTTAGCGAGTGTGTGTATTAGCGTGTGTGTGTTAGCGTGTTGGCGTGTGTGTGTGTGTTAGCGTGTGTGTGTGTGAGCGTGTGTGTGTGTTAGCGTGTGTGTGTGTGAGCGTGTGTGTGTGTGAGCGTGCGTGTGTGTGTGTTGGCGTGTGTGTGTGTTGGCGTGTGTGTGTGTTAGCGTGTGTGAGCGTGTGTGTGTTAGCGTGTGTGTGTTGGCGTGTGTGTGTGTGTTAGCGTGTGTGTGTGTTAGCGTGTGTGAGCGTGTGTGTGTTAGCGTGTGTGTGTTAGCGTGTGTGTGTGTTGGCGTGTGTGTGTGTGTTAGCGTGTGTGTGTGTTAGCGTGTGTGAGCGTGTGTGTGTTAGCGTGTGTGTGTGTGTTGGCGTGTTAGCGTGTGTGAGCGTGTGTGTGTTAGCGTGTGTGTGTGTTAGCGTGTGTGAGCGTGTGTGTGTTAGCGTGTGTGTGTGTGTGTTGGCGTGTGTGTGTGTGTTAGCGTGTGTGTGTGTGTTGGCGTGTGTGTGTGTGTTAGCGTGTGTGTGTGTTAGCGTGTGTGAGCGTGTGTGTGTGTGTGTGAGCGTGTGTGAAAATCTGACCTTGGCCACCAGTTGCAAATTTCTGTCCATCGGGGTGAATGTCCAAGGAAAAGATGGGTTTCCCTGCAAGACAACACACAGACAAAGATCCCCCAGGTAGCCTTTAGAGACTGTAGGGCAAGTGCTGTTAGTAGCGAGTAGCCACCCGGCGCTCCGCTCGTTTTTGTGAGCGTCGCTCCTCCGCCCTCCGTTGTTGCTGGAGGGCGACTGCCTCCAACTGCCCAGTAGCGTCCTTCACGAGCCTCCTCCACAGAGGCCGATCTTGACACCGCTGGTACCAGTCATCGCAAGTCCACTCAGCTCCACGTCCTCCTGTACCACGTCACTCCATCTCTTCTCTAGCCCGTGCCGCGCCCGTTTAGCCCCCTCGATCCGGCCGAACAGAAGCTGTTTAGGCATGCGGTGGCTGGGCATGCGGGCTACGTGACCCAGCCAACGCAGCCTTGCCTGCCGGAGCTCACCGATGGGACTTTGCCCAGATCCTTCAAGTATTTGTGAGCTCCTCACACAATCCAGCCTGCAGGTTAAACCCAGGATGGATCGTAGGCAGGCCAGCCTAAATGTTTATGACCGGCGAAGATGTTCCATTAGGCGGGGTCCACATTTCGCAAGCGTAGAGGAGGGAGGGAATGACCGTGGCCGAGAAGACCTGAAGCTTCGTGCGGAGCGACAGACCAGGTAGCTTCCACACAGCGTTACGCAGCCGATGAAAAGATAATGCCGCTCGACTGATTCGGAGTGAGACCTCTGCTGTTAAACCGGAGCCGGTCATGAGCACACTGCCCAGGTATGGAAAACTCTCCACTCTCTCCACTACTGCCCCATCAACAATTGGGAGTTGTGGGGGTGGAGTGTCCAATGGTACAAAATACCCAGGCAGGTGCTTAGTTTTGGTGGGGCTGATGGTAAGGCCCCACCTCTTAGTGGCACGCTCCAGTCTCAGCAGCAATTACCAGATCATCGGCATACATAACGTGGTTGACCAATAGGGAGCCATCCCTTCACCGCACCCGGGCATCGATCAGCCTCCCATTATATCTGTGGTCAAAATAGATGTCAAATAATGTGGGAGACAGAGGACATCCCTGTCGCACCCCAAGGTGAACAGGGAATGGCTCTGACTCCCGGCCATGTAGTTTTACCCGGGCCCGCTCACCATCATGAAGGTCCTTAATGATCGTGAGCAGAGGGTCAGGGACTCCGAAAGCACGAAGACAACCCAGAGCCCAGGCCTACTGATGGTATCATAGGCCTTGATCAGGTCAATAAAGCAGAGATGTAGGTCTTTTTGGAATTCCCTACACCTCTGCTGTAGCAGACGGACAGAAAATATGGCATCTGTACAGGACCGCCCTTTCCTGAAACCGCATTGGGGCTCCGCAAGCCTCTCCTCAGCGTGCCTAGCAAGGCGATGTTGAATAATCCTTGCCAGGACCTTTCCCGGCACACTGAGGAGTGAGATGCCCCTGTAGTTGTTACAGTCTGTGCGGTCCCCCTTCTTAAAAAGGGGGACCACCAGGGCATCCTTCCAATCCTGCGGAACCCGTCCAGTGGTCCAGACTGTTGTTGTGATGTCATGTAGGGCAGTCTGTGCACAAACGCTACCCACATAGACACGCACATATAGACACACACACAGACACACGCATATAGACACACAGACACACGCATATAGACACACACAGACACACGCATATAGACACACACAGACACACGCATAGACAAACACACACGCACGCATATAGACACACACGCACGCATATAGACACACACACACACGCATATAGACACACACACACACGCATATAGACACACGCACGCATATAGACACACACACGCATATAGACACACACACACGCATATAGACACACACACACGCATATAGACACACGCACGCATATAGACACACACACACGCATATAGACACACGCACGCATATAGACACACACACACGCATATAGACACACACACGCATATAGACACACACACACGCATATAGACACACACACGCACGCATATAGACACACACACGCACGCATATAGACACACAGACACACATACTTATAGACACACACGCATATAGACACACAGACACACGCATAGACAAACACACACACGCATATAGACACACAGACACACATACTTATAGACACACACGCATATAGACACACAGACACACGCATAGACAAACACACACACGCATATAAACACACAGACACATACTTATAGACACACACGCATATAGACACACAGACACACGCATAGACAAACACACGCATATAGACACACACGCATTTCGACACAGACACACACAGACACACGCTTCTAGACGCACACAGACACACACAAAGACAAACACACACACACGCATATAGACACACGGACACACGCAGACACACAAAGACACAAAGACACACACAAACACACACGCATATAGACACACACACACGCATTTCGACACATACACACGCTTCTAGACGCACACACAGACACACACAAAGACAAACACACACAGACACACACAAAGATAAGCACACACAGACACACACAAAGACAAACACACACTGACACACACAAAGACAAACACACAGACAGCAGCAGCAGCATCCATGCATGCACCACCACTACCATCAACGTCCATCAACAGCAGGGCCGATCAACGCAGCAAAACAAACTCCAGCCGATCGCGTCGCCGCCGGTTCGCACGCATCTTGTGGCATCTCCCGCTCACCGTTGTGGTTGACCCAGGGCGGCTTCAGCAGCTTCATCGCGGCGAGAGAGAGAGGGGAGAGAGAACAGAGCCGACACCAACTCCAGCACCCTCCTCGCTCCGGCGGGGCCGAGGCGGCTCTCGCTCGGCGGAGAATCCAGGCGAGGTCGAGGCTTCTTGAGACGTGGGGAGTTGGTGACTAGGCCGCAACCGACCCACGGTCACCCTCCTCGCTCCGGCGGGGCCGAGGTGGCTCTCCCTCGGCGGAGAATCCAGGCGAGGCCGAGGCTTCTCGAGACGTGGGAAGTTTGTGACTAGGCCGCAACCGACCCACCGTCACCCTCCTCGCTCCGGCGGGGCCGAGGTGGCTCTCGCTCGGCGGAGAATCCAGGCGAGGCCGAGGCTTCTTGAGACGTGGGGAGTTGGTGACTAGGCCGCAACCGACCCACCGTCACCCTCCTCGCTCCGGCGGGGCCGAGGTGGCTCTCGCTCGGCGGAGAATCCAGGCGAGGCCGAGGCTTCTTGAGACGTGGGGAGTTGGTGACTAGGCCGCAACCGACCCACCGTCACCCTCCTCGCTCCGGCGGGGCCGAGGTGGCTCTCGCTCGGCGGAGAATCCAGGCGAGGCCGAGGCTTCTTGAGACGTGGGGAGTTGGTGACTAGGCCGCAACCGACCCACCGTCACCCTCCTCGCTCCGGCGGGGCCGAGGTGGCTCTAGCTCGGCGGAGAATCCAGGCGAGGCCGAGGCTTCTCGAGACGTGGGGAGTTGGTGACTAGGCCGCAAATCCACCACGGCCGCCCCCGTCCGCTCTGGCGGGGCCGAGGCCGCTCTCTCTCGGCGGAGAATCCAGGCGAGACCGAGGCTTCACGGGAGAGGGGAGAGAGGGAGGAATTCACGACTAGGCCGCAGATCCACTAACCAACCACGGCCACAGCCGTTGAGACTCCGACGGAAATTACGTCACGAGTGGGGGGGGGGGGCAAGATGGCGGGAGGGGGGGGGGTCAATAACTTCCGGTGACAGTTGGGAAGTGACGTAGGGAGAGGTCTGCACGTGCCGTGTTGGAGCCGGTAGTGACGTTGAGTTGCTGGGTCAACAATGGCCTGCAGGGTCAACAATGGCCTGTAGGGTCAACAATGGCCTGCAGGGTCAACAATGGCCTGCAGGGTCAACAATGGCCTGTAGGGTCAACAATGGCCTGCAGGGTCAACAATGGCCTGTAGGGTCAACAATGGCCTGCAGGGTCAACAATGGCCTGTAGGGTCAACAATGGCCTGCAGGGTCAACAATGGCCAGGGTCAATAATGGCCTGCAGAGTCAACAATGGCCAGGGTCAACAATTGCCTGTAGGGTCAACAATGGCCAGGGTCAACAATGGCATGTAGGGTCAACAATGGCCAGGGTCAACAATGGCCTGCAGGGTCAACAATGGCCAGGGTCAACAATGGCATGTAGGGTCAACAATGGCCAGGGTCAACAATGGCATGTAGGGTCAACAATGGCCAGGGTCAACAATGGCATGTAGGGTCAACAATGGCCAGGGTCAATAATGGCCTGCAGGGTCAACAATGGCCAGGGTCAACAATTGCCTGTAGGGTCAACAATGGCCAGGGTCAACAATGGCATGTAGGGTCAACAATGGCCAGGGTCAACAATGGCCTGTAGGGTCAACAATGGCCTGCAGGGTCAACAATGGCCTGCAGGGTCAACAATGGCCTGCAGAGTCAACAATGGCCAGGGTCAACAATGGCCTGTAGGGTCAACAATGGCCAGGGTCAACAATGGCCTGCAGGATCAACAATGGCCAGGGTCAACAATGGCCTGTAGGGTCAACAATGGCCAGGGTCAACAATGGCCTGAAGGGTCAACAATGGCCTGAAGGGTCAACAATGGCCTGCTGGGTCAACAATGGCCAGGGTCAACAATGGCCTGAAGGGTCAACAATGGCCTGAAGGGTCAACAATGGCCTGCAGGGTCAACAATGGCCAGGGTCAACAATGGCCTGCAGGGTCAACAATGGCCTGCTGGGTCAACAATGGCCTGCTGGGTCAACAATGGCCAGGGTCAACAATGGCCTGAAGGGTCAACAATGGCCTGAAGGGTCAACAATGGCCTGTAGGGTCAACAATGGCCTGCAGGGTCAACAATGGCCAGGGTCAACAATGGCCTGCAGGGTCAACAATGGCCTGAAGGGTCAACAATGGTCTGCAGGGTCAACAATGGCCTGCAGGGTCAACAATGGCCTGCAGGGTCAACAATGGCCTGCATGGTCAACAATGGCCAGGGTCAACAATGGTCTGCAGGGTCAACAATGGCCTGCAGGTTCAACAATGGCCAGGGTCAACAATGGCCTGTAGGGTCAACAATGGCCTGCAGGGTCAACAATGGCCTGCATGGTCAACAATGGCCAGGGTCAACAATGGCCTGTAGGGTCAACAATGGCCTGCAAGGTCAACAATGGCCTGCAGGGTCAACAATGGCCTGCAGGATCAACAATGGTCTGCAGGGTCAACAATGGCCTGCAGGATCAACAATGGCCTGCAGGGTCAACAATGGTCTGCAGGATCAACAATGGTCTGCAGGGTCAACAATGGCCTGCAGGATCAACAATGGTCTGCAGGGTCAACAATGGTCTGCAGGGTCAACAATGGCCTGCAGGGTCAACAATGGTCTGCAGGATCAACAATGGTCTGCAGGGTCAACAATGGCCTGCAGGATCAACAATGGTCTGCAGGGTCAACAATGGCCTGTAGGATCAACAATGGCCTGCAGGATCAACAATGGTCTGCAGGGTCAACAATGGCCTGCAGGATCAACAATGGTCTGCAGGGTCAACAATGGTCTGCAGGATCAACAATGGCCTGTAGGGTCAACAATGGTCTGCAGGGTCAACAATGGTCTGCAGGGTCAACAATGGCCTGCAGGGTCAACAATGGCCTGCAGGATCAACAATGGCCTGCAGGGTCAACAATGGCCTGCAGGGTCAACAATGGTCTGCAGGATCAACAATGGCCTGCAGGGTCAACAATGGCCTGCAGGGTCAACAATGGCCTGCAAGGTCAACAATGGCCTGCAGGGTCAACAATGGTCTGCAGGGTCAACAATGGTCTGCAGGGTCAACAATGGTCTGCAGGGTCAACAATGGCCTGCAGGGTCAACAATGGCCTGCAGGGTCAACAATGGCCTGCAGGGTCAACAATGGCCTGCAGGGTCAACAATGGTCTGCAGGGTCAACAATGGCCTGCAGGGTCAACAATGGCCTGCAGGGTCAACAATGGTCTGCAGGGTCAACAATGGCCTGCAGAGTCAACAATGGCCTGCAGGGTCAACAATGGCCTGCAGAGTCAACAATGGTCTGCAGGGTCAACAATGGCCTGTAGGGTCAACAATGGCCTGCAGGGTCAACAATGGTCTGCAGGGTCAACAATGGCCTGCAGGGTCAACAATGGCCTGTAGGGTCAACAATGGCCTGTAGGGTCAACAATGGCCTGCAGGATCAACAATGGTCTGCAGGGTCAACAATGGTCTGCAGAGTCAACAATGGCCTGCAGGATCAACAATGGTCTGCAGGGTCAACAATGGTCTGCAGGATCAACAATGGCCTGCAGGGTCAACAATGGCCTGCAGGATCAACAATGGCCTGCAGGGTCAACAATGGCCTGCAGGGTCAACAATGGCCTGCAGGATCAACAATGGTCTGCAGGGTCAACAATGGTCTGCAGAGTAAACAATGGCCTGCAGGATCAACAATGGCCTGCAGGGTCAACAATGGTCTGCAGAGTCAACAATGGCCTGCAGGATCAACAATGGCCTGCAGGGTCAACAATGGTCTGCAGGGTCAACAATGGTCTGCAGGATCAACAATGGCCTGCAGGGTCAACAATGGCCTGCAGGATCAACAATGGCCTGCAGGGTCAACAATGGCCTGCAGGGTCAACAATGGCCTGCAGGATCAACAATGGTCTGCAGGGTCAACAATGGTCTGCAGAGTCAACAATGGCCTGCAGGATCAACAATGGTCTGCAGGGTCAACAATGGTCTGCAGAGTCAACAATGGCCTGCAGGATCAACAATGGCCTGCAGGGTCAACAATGGCCTGCAGGGTCAACAATGGCCTGCAGAGTCAACAATGGTCTGCAGGGTCAACAATGGTCTGCAGAGTCAACAATGGCCTGCAGGGTCAACAATGGCCTGCAGGGTCAACAATGGCCTGCAGGGTCAACAATGGCCTGCAGAGTCAACAATGGTCTGCAGGGTCAACAATGGCCTGCAGGATCAACAATGGTCTGCAGGGTCAACAATGGCCTGCAGGGTCAACAATGGTCTGCAGAGTCAACAATGGCCTGCAGGGTCAACAATGGCCTGCAGGATCAACAATGGTCTGCAGGGTCAACAATGGCCTGCAGAGTCAACAATGGTCTGCAGGGTCAACAATGGCCTGTAGGGTCAACAATGGCCTGCAGGGTCAACAATGGCCTGCAGGGTCAACAATGGTCTGCAGGGTCAACAATGGTCTGCAGAGTCAACAATGGCCTGCAGGGTCAACAATGGCCTGCAGGGTCAACAATGGTCTGCAGAGTCAACAATGGTCTGCAGGGTCAACAATGGTCTGCAGAGTCAACAATGGCCTGCAGGATCAACAATGGTCTGCAGGGTCAACAATGGTCTGCAGGGTCAACAATGGCCTGCAGAGTCAACAATGGTCTGCAGAGTCAACAATGGTCTGCAGGGTCAACAATGGCCTGCAGGGTCAACAATGGCCTGCAGAGTCAACAATGGTCTGCAGAGTCAACAATGGTCTGCAGGGTCAACAATGGCCTGTAGGGTCAACAATGGTCTGCAGAGTCAACAATGGCCTGCAGGATCAACAATGGTCTGCAGAGTCAACAATGGTCTGCAGGATCAACAATGGTCTGCAGAGTCAACAATGGCCTGTAGGGTCAACAATGGTCTGCAGGATCAACAATGGCCTGCAGGGTCAACAATGGTCTGCAGGGTCAACAATGGCCTGCAGGATCAACAATGGCCTGCAGAGTCAACAATGGTCTGCAGGGTCAACAATGGCCTGCAGGATCAACAATGGCCTGCAGAGTCAACAATGGTCTGCAGGGTCAACAATGGCCTGCAGGATCAACAATGGCCTGCAGAGTCAACAATGGTCTGCAGGGTCAACAATGGCCTGCAGGATCAACAATGGCCTGCAGAGTCAACAATGGTCTGCAGGGTCAACAATGGCCTGCAGGATCAACAATGGCCTGCAGGGTCAACAATGGTCTGCAGGGTCAACAATGGCCTGCAGGATCAACAATGGCCTGCAGAGTCAACAATGGTCTGCAGGATCAACAATGGCCTGCAGGGTCAACAATGGCCTGCAGGATCAACAATGGTCTGCAGGGTCAACAATGGTCTGCAGGATCAACAATGGCCTGTAGGGTCAACAATGGCCTGTAGGGTCAACAATGGTCTGCAGAGTCAACAATGGCCAGGGTCAACAATGGCCTGTAGGATCAACAATGGCCTGCAGAGTCAACAATGGCCTGCAGAGTCAACAATGGCCTGCAGGATCAACAATGGCCTGTAGGATCAACAATGGCCTGTAGGGTCAACAATGGCCTGTAGGATCAACAATGGCCTGCAGGGTCAACAATGGCCTGTAGGGTCAACAATGGCCTGTAGGATCAACAATGGCCTGCAGAGTCAACAATGGCCTGCAGGATCAACAATGGTCTGCAGGGTCAACAATGGCCTGTAGGGTCAACAATGGCCTGTAGGATCAACAATGGCCTGCAGGGTCAACAATGGCCTGCAGGGTCAACAATGGCCTGCAGGGTCAACAATGGCCTGTAGGGTCAACAATGGCCTGCAGGGTCAACAATGGCCTGTAGGGTCAACAATGGCCTGCAGGGTCAACAATGGCCTGTAGGGTCAACAATGGCCTGCAGGGTCAACAATGGCCTGCAGGG